AGCTGGAGTGACAGGTATCTGTGAGTCCACAATGTGGGTGCTAGGATTTGAACTCTGCTACAGCAACCAAGTGCTCTTAATGACTAAGCCCTCGCTCCAGCTATTAAAGGCTTGTTTGAACATCATGTGATTTTTGAGAATAATAAAATGGATAATGTGATTCTGGGTATATCTTTATTTCTATCGGATATACCCACACCGACACATTCTCCTTAGAAACCCCACAATTATTTATTCTAACTAAAATTTCCCTCCTTTCTTCCTACCGAGGACTAAATCTTTTTAGGCAAACAGTTCACCACTGAGCTGCACGTCTAGAATTTTTTTAGACTTCTATTCTGGGACAGGTCCAAGTTGCCCAGGCAAGCCCTGAATTTGTGATCCTTCTGCCTTGGCTTCAGGAGTAGCTGCAATTACAGACCTGGGCTATCAGGTCCCCACAGTTTGTAAATGATCAAGTCACTCTCCTCAAGAAGGAAAGTACCACGATTTCAGTGTGAGGCATGTTACAGATCTACATGAACCACAAATCCCAAGCCAAAAGTTGGGCCCACTTTAGGAACACCTGTCCTCGATCACAACTCCTGCATGCGTCCGATGTGGGGCGCCCACTGCTGCTGGTCACCAGGGGAAGGCATGTGACACACCTCGCCTCAATTTATTCACCCACTGAATCTCCTACCGGAGACAATGGCAATCCCCCTAACCAGGTCCCCAGGTCTCCCCGACAAGGCACGCTGGGGTCAGGCCCCCTACGTCGTCGGATATTTACAGAAGGCAAGATGCGCTAGCCGGTATCCCGACGCTGGGATAGCGAGGGGGCAGGGGCCGCAGGCCGTCGCCCATGGGGCCTTCGAGGGCTTACCTGGCTTCGTTCTCGATGTTCCCGCTGCCGGGACTTAGCTGCTTTGCGAAAAGCCGCCGCCATGCCTACTGGGGTCCAGAAAAGGCTCACCAAACTCGACCACCGATAGCTGAGCAGCAGCGTCCGCCAAGACCAACGGAAGCAGGCCTAGCCGCTTGATGCTTGCACACTATGCAGCCTATCAGAAGCCTACTTCACCGGAAATACATCCCCACTCAAGCAGCCTACACAAGAGGCTTCTGGGAGATGTGGTTTTCTAGATCGGGTCACGTGATTCCTCCAGGGTTCTCACTTGTCTGAGAGTGTTCTTAGAAGGACCTAGTCTTCGTTCTCGTCGCAAATTGGCATCTGGGAACACGTGGCTGACACTGCCCTCTGGCTGAGCTCGGCTTGCGTGTGCGCATGTGCAGTCACCTGCGACTTGGCCTGGGTTAGAATCCTAAATAGAACCGGCGTGATGGCTCACACATTTAATCCCAGCAACTTTTAATTCAACGACTCTGGAAACAGAAAGTGGGATTCTGTAAATTCAAGCCTAGCCTGCTCTTACATAGTAATTGCCAGGCCAGCCAGGGCAACCTAGTGAAATGAAATCCTGGTCTCAAAAAAGAAAAAAAAAAAAAAAAAAAAAAA